GGTTCTCGGATGTACATTTATTCATTTTGTCTAAAAAGACGTTTTTGTATTTCTTGAAAAAAGGACCCTAGCGCCTCTTCCTCCCTAAGTACCATTAGTTGTCAGATATCGTAATTGCCAGGAAATGACATTATAGCCATACTCAACAATGTAGCACAATATAGACTCATCACAGAATGTCCAACTTATGCAAGAAAGTCTTTGTTCACTCTTTACCTCACTGATGCCTCAGGTACTTGTTTCTTTTGTTGGTCGGTGTGAAACAGTTCTACAGTATTCAAGAAGTCTTAAAGTGTCGTGTTCTGTCCCTCCCACTCCGAGTGAAAACATGGTTTTGTTTGTTGCTTGTCTTTATTTCCTTTTATGCAGGCAGTCTTAGATGTCTTGCTATGAGTGATGAACAGTATTAATGTCGTGTAAATTTCAGGTCTTGCTGGGACTCTGTATTCCTTAAGAGGAGCACAGGTCACCAGCGTGTGCCTTCTCTGTGCTGAGCATGGAAATAGGTCCTACTGAGTTAAACAACCATAAAAATGATAGTTTTCAGAGGCTAAAAAGGAGGATCAGGAAGAAACCAGTCTGACTTACCACACAGCAGAAATACTTCCTACAAAATAGATTTGATATATATTAATTTCCGAGTTTTATTGAGAATGGATGCCAACACAAATTGAGAAGTGGCTATTCATATTTATTCTAAGAGTTCAAGTATCGCTAGAGTAGCAACCATTGCAGACAACATTTGTAAAGATAACACTACTAATAGCACTTTTGATGCAGAATTGTCTGCATATCTCAAGTACAGTGTATTCAGTTTCTTCCAAGATGTTTTATTAGGGAGAGGCAGGAAAAATAGCCTTTGTAGTACTAAGAGGCTTTTGGAGACAGTTTAGACAAATAGACTTGTGTTATTCATACTTGTTAGTAGCAACATCTTTGTTTTGAGCATATTGTAGCCAACTAAAATGCTGCTGTTTACAATCATGCACCTTGAAAATTGATCTCGTTGGATACCTTAGCTAAGTAGGGTCAGGTCTGTTTGATACTTGGATGATAGTATGGTACTTGACATCTATGGCACTCTGTTTCCAAGGACTTCAGCATTAATGAATTAAGCTTCACAATACTTGTGGGATAGAAAATATTTCCATTTAGTGATGGGGAGAGGTAATTGAGATGCGGGAAAGTTAAAGGTGATTTTTTTTTTTTTCTTTTTATGTGCCTGAATTTGTAAAGGTGATTTTAGGGAGAAGTAGATCACTTTATTCCAGTGGTGCGATGCACAGTAGACTCTACATCACATTTGCTGGTTTGCCAGTTTCCTGACAAACCCCTCCTGTTTGCCGTATTGTGAGTAGGAAAGCACACAGAATAATAGAACTTGCACTAAAATGTCATCATCTTTTTTCATTATTTTTCTTTTTTTTTTCTTCCCACTTCTTCTATATTTTAATGTAGAAAACTTTTGCAGTTTCCAGGTATTTTTGGTTTCAGTCAACATGACATCCTTGAATGGACTTATCCAAATAAATGTGAAAGCATGTGCAACCATTGCTTAAGTATTTCCACGGGTAACAGCTTTTTTGCCAAAGACTGACTGCTTAGTATTGTGCATGCTGCCCACTGAAAGCGATCAGTGTTTGGCACCTATGGCCTACTGATAGTTTGACCAACTTGTAAGTCGGCATAGTGCCATTTGGACAGATGGATATGAATATAGACAGCCAAGAAACCATGTATGTGTATCTAGTGTATTTGTTAAGGGCAGGGTTCCCAGCTGGGGACGTTCAAACTTATGTCCATTTTGAGCTTTTGCTTTTAAGCATAAAGGAAAGTTGTCATGAATTATATATTTTTTTAAAATGAATACCTTCAGGCAAACAATTATTGACCGCGTTAAACAAAAAAAAAAAAAGGAAACACCAGCTCCTTTGTTAATACTCTTGAGGAGCTATTTTAAGTAAACTTAATTCCCTTTTAAGCAAGGCTACTATCAAGAGACTCACTGTGAATGTCAAAGATGTGAAGTGTATCAATATTCTAATTTCACTGGCTAGCTAGCTTTATTGAAAAAGAGGCTACAAATTTATTTTACTGGACAGCAGTCTATCCAGCATTCAGGCACCTAGGTGTATCTGTCCAAGTCTCAATGGAATTATTTGTTGTAACTCAGAGGTCAAGGGATGCAGTCCTTCAAGCCGTATTGTTCTTGCCTTGAGGAAAGTACGTTCTTTTGTATATGCTTTTGTACCCTTTAGATGGCAGTGAGTGTGGTCTTGTTCCAGTCATTAGGCAACATAGCTGATGTCTGTGCTTTCTCCTTACCTGAGTCAGTCTTGGAGCTTCAGACTTCTTATTTTCCCATTTCACTTCTAATGGTTTCAGTCTGTCTTTTGTTTTAATCCTTTTCCTCATCTGAGTGTCCTAAGGAGCTGCTTAAAGGTCTGCTGTGGTCTTTTTGGCCTGCTATTGTAAGTATCGTCAACACCCAGCCATTCCTGCCTCTGTTCTGGCGTGTTGACACCATTACTTTCTCGTTGGTACCGTCTTAGCTGGTGCTTGGAAGTCTCAGTTTTCTTTTGTAGAAAATCTTGAGGAAGAACCTTCCTCTAAGACAGTACAGTATATATTCTAGGTGATACAAAATTAAAATAAAAAAAAAAAGGAAAATATGTAGAGAGATGTTTCTTGAATGTGGGGTATGGAAAAAGTTATGGGTAAAGTTAGTCTTAAATTTTATGTGTAAAATGTCAAAGCTCTATCTCAGTTGTAGGGAAGAATGTTACTGTATAGAAGTAAATGAAAATGTGGGAAAGTAATGCAGAATTAAAACAGTTTTGTGATAATGAGGAAGCTTGTGTGATGTAGGTGTTGGTACGTACCAGCCTGTTCCTGTGATGTGGGTGTTTCGTAATACTGTTTTGTTTAAGTTATTAGTTTTTGTTGAAGTTATTCTTTTAACTGCTGTAGGTATTTAGATGTGGTTCTGTGACACGGATACTTAGATTAATAAGGACCTGAAAAAGAACTTTTCTTTGGCATGTTATCATGCACCTCTTCTATGTTTACCCTCTATCGAATGACTGGTGTGTACAGACTGCTTGCTGCCAGAATCCAGTACTCTGACAGGTTCTTTTAGATCTTCCGTGCATTGATGGCACAATATTTCATATAAAATTTACTTACTTGAAGATAGTTGATGTTATACAGGATTTCTGATTTAGGAGAGATGCAAAGTACACTGAAAATAATACAAATCTAAGTTCAGCATACCAAAATACACCAATTGCAGTATGCAGTTCAGTTGCAATACCAATGTGATTCCCATTACTGGTCCCTATATTTCTTACTGTCACGATGCTGGTCTCCCCAGCCACTGGGAAAGAAATATCTGGGTTGAAACCAGCTCAAGACCATTGCTCTCTGAAATTCTTATGTAGTTGTTTAGTTTTCATACTCTTCTATTGGGCTGAGCCCGGTATACGCTCACCTTCACTGTGACCTGGCTAACGCTGGGAGACATTGACACTACCATTTGATCCACTCAACAAATTTGAGCTCCATTCAGCTGTTATTTAGCTGTTTACCTAAAACAAAGGCCACCCAGCTGTCCCCTTTGTGTTGAGCTAAAGTGAGCTGCTTAGCATTATGTCCTGCGCTCCTTGGGCACATCACCATTGCTCATCTACACCCATTGTCAGGCTTTATGCAGTCACATTCCACTCCTATGGGGTTTGGTTCGTCCCAGCTTCAGACTTGAGTGTTAGCAGACAGAATAATGTTTTCAGGAAACTTGACAATTGTTCTTGCATTTAATAAATAGAGAAATAGGTATGGGCTGCTCTCTTGTGATGTTGGTTGGGTGACAGACATTATTTGGAGAAGAAAATTTCCTGAAGATACTATCCAGTCATAAAAGAGGCTTTTAGGGGGGGGCACTTTGGGAACAGCTGTCATAGTTATGTGGTTTTCTATTTGTGAAATTAAAAAAAGTCCTAGAGGAACATTAGAACTGAAAGAGGAAAACTGATGTTAAGTAACTGCATTTGGCTTAGGGTTATAGTATTGAGTGGCTAGACTAATGAGAAAAAGATATTTTTCTATCCAGAAACTTCCTGAATTGTGTATTAATATTCCTTCCTGCTTCCCCAAGCAAAATAAGATAATAATGAAGTCCCACCAGTCAGGTTGGTATCTTTTAGAAAATAACTGTGGCTCTGCTTGTATGCCTTGTATCTTCATAAGGTAGAGGGAAAGATCAGTTCTTTGTGAAAGAAATCATGGATGCCTTTCATGTAAGGAGATCTGGTGCACAATCTTGGCCATATCATGGCCATATATTCAGTAAGTGCTTTTACTGAAGCGAAGTGTGGCTCTGCTGAAAACTCAAAACATTTATTTTTTCAGAATGAGGCCTGTTGTGCAGAAAGATGCATGTGTTTGGGTCCAGTGGGCTGTTACTGTTATTTCTGGCAATATTGCTTATCTGAGACCTGTGGCTGGGAGAAGCCAATAGTAATACTTCTATATTTATGGTCTCAAAATGGGTAGTTGTTATAGTAGTTTGTTGATGATCTACTAAATGCTGCTCTGTGAACAATAAGCAGACGTTAACTTTTGTTACTTGCAGTTATATAGGAGAAAAAATAACTGTTTACTTTTTTCTAAGTTTAGACCTACGGTTGGTTGTGATTGAGTACAGTAGATTGTGAGATTTTTCTAGCATGTATTATACAAGGTCTTCTAACAGGTTTCTCTTGTGACGATATTTGCTGTCAAATGTTTTTCTGATGCCTGGAAGAATCAGTTGTTCACTCAGAATTCATGCCAATGAAACTACTTACTGTATTTCTTTTAAAGTATCTTTGTAGTAACAAACTAAAACTGGAACAATCCATACTTCTTTCATTCTTCTAACAGATTTCTACATAAAATAAGTTCAACATATAACTTAGGCTTTTTTTGTTTTATTTTTCCTTCTCTACTCTTCCTTCAGGGAAAATGCCATATAATAAGAAGACTGCTGGGAAAAGAGCCCCTGCGAAAAGGAAACTTGCTGAAGTGTTTCCTCTGGGGGAGGTTCTAGCAGATACATCCGGAAAAGAATGGAAATTAGGTGTCCCTATAGGGCAAGGAGGCTTTGGATGCCTATACCTTGGTAAGTGTAGTTACCTTTGATAATGCTTTAGAATGGTGAGATGTTTATCGTTATTCAAGGCAATGAAAAACTGACCCTAAGCTAAATTGTCTTCAAGTGATCTTTTTTACCAGAACTGTAGCTTGCTTTATGTTGTTGGAAAAAAATGACATGGCCAAACGGTCATTGTAAGCACCCTGGTTGTGTGAGATTCCAGTTGTAGTTAATTCATTTTTAAAAACTGAGATCTTTATTACTTTTTAGCAGTGAAAGGATAGTTTTTGGCTGGTTTCGATTTTGGTGCTGCTTTCGACTTTTTCATTGCCTTGTGAACTTCTGACATAAGTCATACTTTTTTTATGTAACCAATGATCAAAGCAAATTGTAATCTTGAATTTAAAGCATCAGCACAGATCTTGCAATACTGTTTATTGGATTCAAGGAAAATTTCTTTTAGTGGATAGTGTTCCATACTTAGTATCTCTGTTCGAACAGATAAGAGAGGTGTTGAGAATACCTCAGGGAATTAAAAAAAACTTGTTTGTCTCTAGTCACTTCCAAACAATTTGGAATGGATGAAAGGTAATGTGATCATAATAATAAAGCTTTCTTTTGCTATGCATTTATAGTTAGTGAAAAAGTTGCGCTGACTTCATACTGAGTTGGAAAAAAAAATTAATAATCCTTCTTGCTTTCAAAATGAACAGACTGCAGCATAAGTGGATTAAGAAGAAAAACAGGACCCGTGGGTGGCTTCTTACCAAAGAAGCCCTCTACTACTTATTCAGCCTTGCTCAATGAGCTACTAAATGTACTGAGATTTGAGTTCCAGCACACTTAAACTGTTCTTTGTGTTACAAATTCCTGCATTGTTTAAGCCAGAGCTTGCCCTCTGTTTGCTTCTCTGTCATTTGTGCAAAGCTGTGCCCCTGCCTGTTCTGTACGTCGTGCTTTTCTAACTTGATGTCCTTCATACCTGTATTTCCTTCTGTCACAAGTATCAACAGCTTCGTAGCAACACTCACTTTTGGATATGTGACATGGCAAAATAGTAGAGAGAATGTGGTTTTTATCTGTATGTCCACAACTGTGTGCATTCATCACAGTCCTAGAAAAGCAAAGAAATGCTATTGACTGGGAAAACGTTATTGAATAATAGAAAATGACTCTCTTGTTTAGTAAACTGCCTGTTCTCCTCAGACAGGAGGGAGAATGCAAGATCATATCCATACAGAGTAGTCTTGCCATAGAGAGTAGTTCTCTTACCAAAGTCTAAGGTACTGATACTTGTTCACATCAGTACTTAATTGCTTTCTCATTTGTTTGCCTATGCTGCATAGCAAGTAAGTGTATGTTTTGTGACAGTTTCCTACTACTAATAAACGCTTCATTTTTAACAGCTGATGCTAATTCTTCAAAGTTGGTTGGCAGTGATGCACCTTATGTTGCAAAAGTGGTAAGAAAGTATTTGAATCTTTACTTCACAACTTGAAATGTTTGCTCTGTAATGGCATGTGTAGTTTAAAACATCTGACTGAAAATAATACGATTGTACAGTGCTGTTTAAAACAAAAGTAAGTGTGGTGATACAGAGGAGTGCTGCCGAGAACTGGGACTCCTGAGTGTGAGGGTGGATAATGAAACATCAGTGGAGTTGAAAAAGGTTCATGAAATGGGCCAGAATCTGTTTCATTTGCTGCATCCTGTAAGCAGCCCAAATATCACAAATTGAATGAAATAAGGCTTTTGGAGAATTTCTGTGATTCAGCAGTGAGTCTGTGTGAACTGTTGCTCACCACTGGATGTTGGTAAGCTGAGAGTTGGCTTGGAAGCAGAAACAGCAAAACTTTGATTCCTGAGGTCCCCACAGATATAAAGTCGTTTAAATGTTTTTATCATAAAACACACATTTATTCTAATTTCTGTTGAATTGAAATGGCATTGACACATAATTTTGTTTTAACTTAATGAATAGAGAGAAGAAAAAGCATTGTTGATAGCTCATTTTAGTCTATTGTAGCAAATCAGCAAATTCTTTTTATTAGTTGAAACTTAATGTTTTTAATCTTAAAAAAAAAATTAACTTGGTTTGGCTATAATGTTATCTTCCTGACGTAAATATATAAAGCATTTTTTTCTTAAATATTGCTAGATTACTTTGTATAGATCTTACTATTATATGTGATTCCCTTGTAAAACGTTAGTAAAAAACCTGGAAATGTGGGAATAGCCATAGTTGATCCAGACCATTCATGATCGTGGTGGTACTTTTGGTCCTGTGACAAAAACAAATACCAGAAAACTCTACAAGAACTTCACAATGTAAAAATAAGTAGCTCTTCAGCACCGTTCAGAATTGCAATGTTTTCATCTTTTATTTATTAAGCTATATGGCGGTACTGAAATGCTTTACTGCAATAGCTGGCCACTTATGTAAATACACTAATACTTTTAACATTTCTTCCAGAAACGAAAAGATAGATTAATTTAGAATAAAATACGTTTTAGCTAGTATGTGCCTTTAATCTTGATATTTATATCTGCTGAATACGGGGAAATTCTAGAGTACAGGTTTTGATACTCTTCAGACACCCCAAGGTACTGTTGGTGATGACCCTCTTTCCAAAACGTTGATGCTTGCTGAAAATAGGACTGCTTACAATGCAGATGTGAAACTACCGCACATTCAACATCAGCGTACTGCTGCTGCCAAAGGTGTTTGTGGGCAGGAATTCCACATAGACCGGAAGCCCCATCATGCAGCTGTTGCATGCTGACAACCTGCTTTCACATGCCCAACCTGTGCTGTTGAGGGCAGGGAGTGCCCATTATGCAGGAGCTGTGGCCACTTTTAGAGGCAGGTAAGAGACAATCAGGTTCTCAGCAGTGGCTCACTGGTGAGAGGCAGTGGCTCCTAATTCCTGGCTCCTGACAAGTTTGGACTGATCAGGAAGCAGGGAGCCATCTAACTTTCATGGAAGAATCCAGTTTGACTTGCTAGGAAATCATCAGGTATGCATTATTCCTCCTCTTCCCCTGAGTTTGAAACGTGTCCATCTGCTTCTCTTCTCCGCTTTGGGCTCTGAATATGGGAAGAGTTGTTGTAACTTTTGGGTTGCTTTTATGCTAGATTCACTTTGTTGGAGCAGTTTGTAAATACCCCCATTGCTAATCTCCCAGATGACTACTCACTTTTAATTTGTCTTTTATAATTTTGTCTTTATGGCAATAAAGAGTAGCCCCAGTCTTTGTGCTGCCCTAACCCGTAACCTGTTATGCCTCTACAGTCTAGCAAAACACAACTGCGGATAAGGGCCTGTTTTCTGATGCCTGGGTGATTCCTAGTTGATCCATCAGCTGAAGCAAAGTGGTTAACAGCTCTGAACAATTATTAGTGTTTAACAAATATCTGCTTCTATAGTAATGTTCTTCAAATTAAGCTATTAAAGCGTGATGGAAATTGGCTTAGTCTTTGACATATCCTCATAGTATTGATGTCTGAGCAGTACGAAATGAATTGTGGTTTTTATTAAAAAAATAAATGCTTTTTAACATGTGGACCTTTCAGATGTCATTGTTCAGGAGTGGATGTGGAGTTTAATAACACTTCATTAAATTGCTGACTGAAAAAATCACAATTCTTAAAACACTACTCAAAGAAATTTCTTCGGTTTCAATGTACACTCCATGATATCTTTCGTTATGGTATCTTTTCTAATTAGACTTTAATTTCAGTTTTGCAAATCCTGTGTTTAGAATGTCCCTGGGCATAAAGTTGTAGAAGTTTGTGTTTGAAGTGTTTCTGGTTTTAGTGTATTATATGACTAATACGGCAAATATTGGATGTGATTACATGAGTCTCTTTAACACTGTGTATGCATTTATTTATTTGGATGTAGAATTAATGGTATTATGGGAAAACAGTTTCATAGTCAATGTGAATATCTGTTTTGTAGTTAAACCATTTATCTTTTCATACTTGAGGAGTTAGATACCAGATTTTCAGCATTTGCTCTGACTAGAGAAAGATTATAATTTTTTTTTAGCACTGAGACATTTTTTATGGCATAATTTATTTAAAGATAAATATTTTAAGAATTTTTACCACCTACAATTTTTAGATATATTTTAGTAAGAAAATAACATTCTTCAAGCCTATGTTAATTGAACCCAAATAGTATTTATAACTTATATTCTTATTAAGTTAGAGTATTAATGACTTACGCTACAGAGAAACAAGTGAATAGGTCAAGTAATGTTTGTCCAAGGTAACTGCAGTGTAAGTATTCAGCTATTGAACCCTTCTCTGTATATATAAACTCTACATTACTAATTTGTTGTCCATAATAGATAAACTAACTGAAAGTAGGTATACATGTACCAAAGTTTATGTGCATTGATCAGTTGCTTTAGTTGTGGGTTTGGTTTTTCTTCAGGTTCATGGCTTAAGTCTGAACACTGGGCCAACAAGGAGGGGCTAGAAAACTGTTGTCTTGGCTCCATTGTTTATCAGGGCAATGCTGCTGGAGAAACTGAGGTGGAGATAGGCAGTATTAGCTTTGTAATCGAGTGTCCAGGCCTAGGAGTGGTGCCTAAGCTGGTATCTCCTCTCGTTCTGACCGGTGTTCCTACTCTGCCTCTGGGCCAATACAGACATGCACACTAACACAAACACATGTGTTTGATCTCTTCATATTGCTTTGTTCATGTCGCCCAGCGGTAAGCCTCCATTAGCTGAGTGGTACGGTCCGGCCTTGAGCGATTTTCCAGATCACAACAACTACAGTTAAAAGTTACAATTAAAACTGTTTTAAGATTGATGTTATATGTCTTGGAACTTTTGATAATATCATGTGATTGCATTCTTTCTGGGTTTCTTTGCCAGTAATCACATACTTTTTTTCTGGTTAGTTTTTTTAAAGTGTAGGATATTCCAAACCAGGTATTTTCACTGAGATAGAATGAATTTGCACATACATGAGTAACTAGACTTAAATAAATTGCTTAATCTTAACCCAAAATTAATCACTTAAACATTGCAAGAGTTGAAATCACTTTTTTCCTGTAAGTTCCGCAAATGTAGCGTATACTTACCCATTTGCTGTTCTTGGAGTAGTGCAAAGCTTTGATGTTTTCAAACCAACTTCTCTTGTCCTTTACTTGCAATGTGAGTTTACCATGGATTTGTCCCTAGAAAATGGAGCTGAAACACCTTATGTTAGCTTAGATAAAAGGTAGATTCTGATGTCAGAATAAGTGAAGTTCTTATAATTTAGTTAAGACAAATTGTGAAAACCTCTGTAATTTTTACCTTGATCAACTAATGTATGAAGGGAACAAAACGCGTAATGTTCATCAGGAATTTAATTTTTGTTAACATTTTTTCCATCAAATCATTTCAGGTGTTATTTTAGGCTCAGCGATGGCTGTTGCAACTGAGGCAATCTAGCTTTAATCAGGAAAATCTGATAATGAAAGTTGTTTAATGTTCTCTGCTAAACTTTTGCTGCCAATTATTGGTAATATTTTTGTAAATTTCAGTTAATTTGTTATTCTTTAGTCTTTTGTTTTGGGAAAGGATTCTTGATAGCTGTAATGTTAAGCAATTTATAATAAAATAACTTTTTAGAACTTCTTTTTATAGAAGGAACATACTATATTGAATTTATCAGCACTGGGAGAAGCATTTGAGGGAGAATATGCTTTTATAGAGTGAATGTTACATTTTGTGAGCTTTTAATAATTATTAGGCACTAACACAGCAGTTCTTAACTGATTTTAAATTGTCTTAAAGGAACCCAGCCAGAATGGACCTCTTTTTACTGAGTTAAAGTTCTACATGCGAGCTGCTAAGCCAGATGAAAGTAAGCAGTCTATTAAAACATTTCTAATATACTACAAGCATTTAGTAAAATGGAGCATACAGGAGTAAGGTCGAACTTTAACTTAATCTTTTTAGGTAATTTTCAAAGTTATTTTTAAATTATTGAAATCTCACTCAGATAAGTAGTAAACTTAGGGTGTTGGTTTTTTTTTTTTGTAAGATGGTCTTTGTAGTTGTGATGATGGTATTGTCTAAATTGAACCTTTAGTTACATCTCTGTCCCTACAATGAGTGTGTCATTAACTTTCCATTATACTTTGCATACAAGTTTCCATGAAATAAGCAGCTCACATGTATATAGAAACCAAGTGATGTGAGGACTCCTTTTTTATGTAAGTCTCTACTGATGCGAATTCATGAACTTATCTTTATTTGTATTTTCAGTTCAGAAGTGGACTAAGTCCCATAAACTGAAATATTTAGGTGTACCAAGATATTGGGGTTCTGGCTTGCATGAAAGAGATGGAAACAGGTGAATATATCTTTCATTGGCATATACTGGGGTTTATTTCATCCCCAACCACTATCCCTTTTAACCTAACTTAGGTTGTAAGACGTTATTTTCCACCTAACTTCACCTTGATCCTTTCTGCTACAAAGTTTTATTTTCATAACAAGGCCTGTTTAAGGAATAGATAAATAGATACATTTTATTTGTATTGTTACTTGTATTTCTGTCTATTATATTTTTAGTGATTTAATTTTCCATTTGTCTTGAAAATTGCCATAGTACAGTGATGCTAAATATGTGTGGTTTTATTAAAATGAAGTTGACCTTTAATGTATAAAAGTGTTTGAATTATACTGATTAAAGTTTTTTGTGTGGTGTGCACTTAGAGTTTTTTCACTTACACACATAAAGGACTTGGTGCTTGCGCTCAATCTGTTTTATTTTCCCTAGGGGTGGGGGTTTTTTACTTAATCTGTAAAATAGAATAATCACTATCTCATGTTAAATTTGTCTTGAGTCTAGGAGTAGTTTTCAGTATTGTTTCATGTCAGCAAAAAGAAGGGGTTTTGTGGCTTGGTCTTGAATGGTATGCCTGTTTACGTAACAGTCCTTGTTTCCCAGTGGGCTTTCTCTGTACAGCTAGGCTGCAAAGCAGTTTTAGTGGTTCTCTAACAGCTGATAGGTGGTCTTGGTGTGGACCGCTACACAGGGCAACCTCAAAACTTATCTAATGTAAAAATAACATTAATTTTGAGAGGGAAAAGTAACTATAACAATTTTTTATTCTCCTAAGTAAAATTTTCTTTTAATTGTTTAATGCATTTGATTTAATAGAGCTACTATGAGTTCTTACAGTAGTAGAACCAGTTTGGTTATAGCAATGAATATTGGAACACCTTTGACAAGTAAGAGGATTTTGTTTTTAATAATAGGTTAAAAAAACAGGGTGTAATAGATTTCACAAAACTAAGTTTTTTAAGTAACCATGTTAAGTCACTTATTTTATAAAATGAAAAAATTATTTTTTTAATTGATGCTTCGTACTACCTATAGTGGATTACAATACAGATGTTTCCCTCTGTGACTACTTGTTATTGTATTGCACAGCTAGCCAGGAACAAAGAACAGTTCTTTGGGTGGATGAACTTGTGACTAGCTCATGTGAAAAAGTTAAAGTTTTATGTATGACATTTAAAAAAGTATTTACAATATAGTTGTTTTATGTGTTCTGCAGTTTATCTTTTGAGAGAGAGATTTTCGGTCAGTAATTTTTCCGACTAACACATGAATAAAATAGTTTGCTAAGTACAATTCAGTAACTTTGCTGTTGTGTGGGTTTTTTTTCCTTGAAATTAGTTATCGATTTATGATAATGGCCCGATTTGGCAGAGATCTTCAGAAGATGTTTGAAGAGAATGCAAAACGATTTGCCCATAAAACTGTACTGCAATTAGGCCTGAGAATAGTAAGTTTAAAAATAATATGTTTTTGCAGTCGGGCTTCCCCGTGTTGAGTTGTTCGGTTAAATCCCACTTCTGTGCTGAGTCCAGGTCCTCTGGTGGGTGGAGCTGGGTACTGCATTTATATGACTGTTTTGTTTTGTTAGCTTGATATTCTGGAATACATCCATGAGCATGAATATGTGCATGGAGATATCAAGGCCTCAAACCTTCTTCTGAATTACAAGAACCCTAATCAGGTATTTCTGATGCATTTTATTCCTCATGTTTTAAACCTTGTATTTGACAACACATGGGAGTGCTTTGAACCTGTGAAATCTAGCAGAAGCTCATTTTGAAGAATGTATATCGTAACATTATTTCTGCTTGACATTTATATCTAGTCAATATTCTATGATTTTTTTAATGCATTTTTCTGGAAAGTTATAAAATTGACTATTTGGCCTAAATAATATTCTAGAGAAATTCTCACGATTAAAAAAAAGAAAAAAAGACTCTCAAATAGGTGTTTGCAGGTGGAAGCTTAAAATTATATAGTACACTGGTAAATTATGTTTGCCTTTCTGCATTGTTACTCTGTTCCTTTGTTCGAGAAATCCATCAGATAAGTGTTCTGTTACTTGGGAAAATTGGTATTTAAAGTGTTGATTGTTCCACTTGATTTATGGAAGTCTTTCGTTTTTCTGCATTTTTAAGTGTCTTTACTGTTCAGACAATGCATATTAGAATTTCAGAATTACATATGTCTTCTTGCCCAACTGTTTTAGCTCATGAAATAAGTAAAATAATCTCAGTTGCCTTAAAGCAGCTGGGGTGTTAGTGAGAAGTAATAGTATGTAGTAGTGTTCACATGGGACAGCTGGCTTTATTTACAGGGTAGGACAGTAAGTGTGTTTATAACTCTATGAACATTAAGTATTGGGTTTTTTTGGCATGGTGTGGTGTTTTTTTTTTACATTTAGTCATACTCGTCATAACTGACTATTGTACTCGTCCTCTGCATGAGCAAGAAACTGTTTCTAAATCAGGCTGCTGCATGGAAAACAACAAAACCTATCTGAGACATGTTGTTTTCAAATAATATGTAGTGATCTCAATAAAGCACTGAGAAAGGATCATTCAAAGTCAAAAAACTCGCTGTTAATACGTTTTGAGAAGTTCTGAGAATGGATAAGTTACTTTTATTATATGTGTATTTTTTGCATTTATAGTTCTTTAATCTTAGAATTCTTTGTGGAATTACTAGGTGTACTTGGTGGATTATGGACTTGCCTACCGTTTCAGTCCTGAAGGAGTTCACAAAGTATATAAAGAAGATCCTAAAAGGTGTCATGATGGGACTATTGAATATACCAGTATTGATGCACACAAGGGTGTGGGTAAGGATATAAAACACTGTTCTGAACAACAGGCATTTGTGCATCCATTTTATAAATACAAAAATCTTTCCTTGCTGCACTGAGTTTAGTAAACAGCCATGTTTATGAATCTGTAAAAATATTTTTTTCCATTCTATGGACTATGCTGGCATTTTTCTTTTTTTCCACTTAACTAACTTTTACTTTGATATTAATTTACTGTATTTTAGTGTAATTTTCTTAAATAGATTTCCTTAATTTATAAAGGCTGTTAAGGTGTTTAGAGTATTGCTTTTTATTAATTAAATAGAAATGGAATAGTGCCTATGATATCTTGATAGAAAAATGGGCCCTGTTTTCAGGAGGTAGTCTCTTTTATCAGTGTGAATATTGTTCCTTCATATTTAGCAAAGATGTGCAATATTCTTTATCTTGTGGATTGTGTATTACTTAGAAAATTTTTTTAACAAAACTTCATTTGTGCCTCTAGTCACTGAACATCAAAAGGCAAGTAGTGAGAAAAGGCTGAACATGACAAGAACAGGTCTGTGGTTAAACACTGAGGATTTATAGTGGACACTAATTTTATTGTCTTCATTCTTAAATTTTTCTTTATTAGTATAAAAGCGTGTCCTGCAAAAGTGTCAGTTGTTGAAAGTTACTTCAGGAGGAACTGTTACACCTATGCTTAAAACTGAACATGAACAAAGATCGCTTGATTTGCCCAATTATACTTCCAGTGTAGTCTGCAGTCAGTGTACATGTGGGTTGTTTTTTGGGGTTTTGTTTGGTGTGTTTTGGGTGTGGTTTTTTCGTTTGCAAGGTTTAGGGTTCTAATCTGTTACTGTCCTCTGGTTTTCAGGCCACAAAATATTTCAGCACTGTGGAATATTGTTTTTTGGTTTTGGTGTTTTGTTTTTTTTTTTCCCCAGGAGCTGGCATTTTAGCACTATTACCTTTTTACAAAAGAAGGGAAGTGAAAACTGTTTTGAACAGAAAGTCAATCACTTCACTAACTTGCACTATTTTTTCCACATTCTGAGTATTTAAAAACCTTCCCAAATTGTGATAACTGCAGCATGACATATCGTTGAGTAGAAGAAAGAGATTGATAAAAGACTTGAAAATGAAGTTATCCTTCCAGATGTAGGAAAAATATGTTTTCCTCCCTTGCTTTCAGGCTAAAATAAAGAAATAAGCTACAGATAGAGTCGTCTTACATTCTTAGCATTGGCTTTCTATTGGCTTAACGTATTTAGAAACTGTAACTGTTCTTAAACTGTGTGGGCTTTATTAGCTACTCTTACAGTCCTTTGTTTTATGTTTGGGTGTATATTTAGCACCATCGAGACGTGGGGATATGGAGATCTTGGGTTACTGTATGATTCATTGGCTTAGTGGCCATCTACCATGGGAGGATAATTTGAAAGATCCAAATTTTGTCAGAGACTCAAAAATTGGGTAAGAAACTACTTTTTTTTTTTTTTTCTGATTTGCAATTGAAAATGGGAAAGTGTTAGTGTAGAAATGCTTTGTACTTTCAGTATGTTCCCTTTTGGTGAGTAGGCTATCGTTTTGTATACGATACATGACTCATGTATCCTTGGCTTGTAATTAAACTTCACTTGTACTATTCTACACTTTTTTTGCATATGTGAGATGCTTAGTTATCCGCCACAGTACTGTCGCTTTAGAATACTGCCATGGTTAATCCAAAAAGCACTCTTAGCAGTATGTGGGTAACCATTGTCGTGCTGTACAGAAAGAGAACTGAAGCATGGAATTTGAGTAGCCTTGATAACACCATGCTCTGAAGTCAGTGGCAGAGATGAGAGCTAAAGGTGGATCTTTAAATGTCTTTAAGCATCATTCCAGGTAGAGGGCTACTAGTTTGGGATTTTTAAAATTATTTTTTTATCCCTCTCCCTCCCTGTGACATTCATTTGTCTTTACTCCACCCCCACTCAAACTTCTCTTGTCAGATATTTAATGTGAAGAAAGCTGTCCCAGCACAGCAGTTTCTGTCTCGTTAACACGTATTTGTTATCTGGCTTCCACTTCAGCCCCCGTCAATATTAGTGAAGCTCCGCATCCTTCCCCCCAGGTATTATTTTGGCAGGGGATCTGCTCTGAATAATAGCAGATGAGAAAGAGTCCTCTAGCAGGAAGAGGTGAGAGCATTGATATGTGGGGGTTTAAAACTTACCAGTTCTTTTCCTTCAGTCTTCTACTTGCTTGCTTTTGTAAGAATAAAGAACTGTTGAACAGTAACTTAACCCCATTTCACATAGCCTGTCTGGCATTCGTCAGGTTCTCAAATTCACCGCACTCCTAAAAATGGCTGTACTAAGTCATACTAAAGGTTTATTTAGTAGTGTTTCCTGGTTCTGGCAGTGGCCCAAGCTAGATATTTAGGAAGTTTATCAGTACAGGGCAAGGTTTGAACTGTGAAAGAAACAATAGTTTTAAATAATTGTGTTTTTCAGATGTAGAGATAATATTTCAGTTTTGATGGACAAATGCTTTCCGGGGAAAAATAAACCAGGTAAGAGGAGCTATTTTCAATTAAAATACTGTGGTTTATTCCATGTAGTAAGCATTCTTAAATAATTTGTTTTAATGTTCTTTTTCTTAAAACAAAAAAATAATCCATCAGTCTGTTTGGGTGCCATCACCAAACTGAGGGCAACTTTAGACAATGGGTAGAAGCTCTGAAATTCTCATTTACATGGGGCACACTGAGTGTGTACCAAGGAAGGCTGTGCTCCTCTGTATTCAAATAAAACCGGGTCAATTCAGTCACTGCAAAAGGTGAGGAGTTGTCAGATTGTTACCATCTTTGTTCCTGAGGCATTGTGTCTCAGGCATTGTGCTCTAATCTGTTACCTCTTTAAGTTCTCCTTGTTTACTGAAGTTTATACCTATCTTTCTTCCATCAGCAACAACAAAGTGGCATGAATCTTAGATTGTTCATTAGGGGAAGTTTAGACTCTTCCTTTTGGCTGCAGTTATATGAACTACAGACACTGAGTTCTTGTTAGCGTAGCCACCACATAACCACGGAGTGATTATATGCAGGTGCTTTTATTCAGCGCTGGGTAGCCGGGGTACGCACCCAAATCTGGCTACAAATCCCGTCACATCCCGAACGCAACTTATACTATCAAAAATTACGTATGTATTAGATTGCGACATCAGCCTCGCTTCGTATGATAATGAGCTCCGCTTCTCATGGTAATTAGGGCTCCTCCCATTTGAGCATGCGTAGTTCCCTCTGGTGGTGGTCTCGGGGGTCTTCAGGTGGTCGTCTGGTGGTCGTTTAGGTGAATGAACGGCCTTAAAACTTTTTTACCTTTCTTAGTTCACGCATGCGCATTACCTATTTCGTTACCTGACTACTTCTATGTTTATAGTTCTCCTAAGTTACGGTACGTAATGAGTTGATACAGAATGAATACAATGAACACATAAATCAACTTCACCTACTTTCATTGTTCGTCTAGTCATACAACATTACCCTTTAACAAAGTCTCCTAGCAACTATTTAACATAATTTTAATATCTAACCAATTCTACTGATTTTCTTGTATTTTACCCCAACATTCTGACTAAAGACAGTATTAAGTATTTGCAAGCATGAAAGCTGTAAGTTGATTTTTCACAACTAAATTTGAGATTCAAAATAAAAATATAATGCAAACTTGAAATTTAGATTGTTTCTATTTGGCACTGGCTATTTGCTGAGTAGATTTTTTTTTTTTGAAACCTGACTCTAGTAGAAATACACTTTCTTGGGATCTTAAACTTAAATATTTAATTGTTTCTGGCTACTCCTGGTGATGAGAAGAATTTTCTCTGACCTGTGACTTGTCTGTTTTTTCAGTGGTCAAATGCTTCCTATAAATTTTTAATATATTTTCAGTCTGAAATAATGTTTTTCTCTTTTCAACGTTTAAATATGGACGTAAGAAATGTAACTTAAACAAGCATTCATTGGTGAAGATGGGCCTATTACATTTTTTACAACTGACAGTTTTCTTCATTGCAAGGAACGTGTCAAAACCAGTGATGCTGTCACCACGGGGTAATGAACCTTGGTATAATTTTTTTCTAAAACACGTTGTAGTAAAGTCATAATTATGAGTTTATAAATAACCATTTGAAAAAATGGCATAAGTAGTGCTTGCATAATTTCTGGCTCTTTTGTGGTAAAAGTGGATGATTAAAATGTTTTCAAATAGAAATTAATTGGAGGTACCATTTCTTTAGATGAAATAGCCAAATACATGGAAAAGGTGAAGCTACTGAGCTATGAAGAGAAACCTGTTTATCAGCATTTCCGAGAAATACTTCTGCAAGGTCTTAAGGCCATTGGGCAAAAAGATGATGGCATCCTTGATTTTGGCTTGTCAGAGAATGGAGACATGCAAACAAATCCCATGCAAAAGGTTTTTACTCTTAACATTTATGTTGGCTTTTAATGCATTTTTTTTGAGCTGTATGAGTTAAAGTGATTTTGGTGTCATAACTGCATCCAGTAGGAAATAAGCAAATAGTGAAATGTTTGGTTAAGCCCTACTCTTAGGCATTATTCCTCTAACTTACAGAATTATGTTTATTATAGGTGTACTTTCATAATAGATAATAACACGGGTAACAGAATGTGTGTATATGGTTGTAGTGATGTTTGAACAGATGAACATTCAGCTTACTTACCTATTTTCCTTAAATTGTTAAAACTCCAGATGGGTCAAAATACATGTAAGCTAAAATAAGTCTAGTTTTTGTTTGAGTAGTTTCCTTTCTGTGACTAGTTCAAAGCTTAGTTTTAAGTATACATCTTTATGCCAAATATTTGATCCTGGAATTCACGTGTTGAGTTCACTGTGATTTAATATGTTATTTATGAGTCTTAACTGTAGTGGTAGGCTAGGGATATTTTATTCTTTGCATTTAAGAAGCCCTAAACACTGCTTTTGGACTCCTATTTGAGTAAGTGTAAGAATTTTTTAAGCCTTAGGGAAATCGTACATTCAAGCGGTTTATAATTACAATTAAAAAAAAATTAAATAATCATAGAATCATTTAGGTTGGAAAAGACCTTCAAGCTCATAGAGGATCAATAAATATTATCCTGTACATGCATTTATTTGTTAATAACAGATGGGCAGTTTATTAGTTCCTTTAGCATGAACCAGGGATCTGAGAATTATAATACAGGATGATAGTAGGATACTTCTGCCTGCTTACTGATGTGATCAGCAGTGTGTTAAAGATGGGCAAAAAGCACAAAAGAAAAAAGTTACAGGATTTTGAAGTCTTCAGAGGCTCTATGTCCAGCTTTTCTTATTTCTTTCTGCCCAGTAAATAGTACTTTGGCTAAAATCATACAGCCATGGTCTTTGTACTAATATTTTTTTCTGCAGAGCTGAATGCAAAGATCTGTCCAAAAGGAGATTTCATTTGCATAAATTCTTCTGTTCCTCCTGTGGATCAACATGGCTTGAGACCTGTGTTTCGGGGGGGGGGGGGG